CCATTTCAGATTTTGTTACGTAAGATTTTAAATCTATACATTAATTAAAAATTTGGTTTTTCATCCTATCATGCAAACAGGCACTAAACTTTAATATATAAAAAGGTGAAAGCATTACAAAATGTGTTACATTCAAGAGAGGTTTACCAAATGTTTCTCTGATAAAACTAAGGCAAAATATGGATATAAGAGGAGAGAGAGGCACTGAACGATTTCAAGAAGTAGATTTATTGTGAAGACACATTTATATTCTACTATGTAGCTTGAACATTAGTGTCCATTGAATTATTTCAATACTTTTGCATGCTGATCTGTTTAACTGCTGGGTGAACATTAGTATCCTGGTGTGCTGTCTCATTTTTTAACAGTTTTGCTTCCTTTGTTACAGATGTCTTGTGGCAGAGTTAATGTGATAGGTGTAAACAGCATCCTTCTCAGCATGACGGAAGCTGATACAATGTCAGTGTGACAGTGCATGCTATGAAGGGCAGTCATTTAATCTTGTGACAACAAAGGGGGCTGCGTTACCTTCTTTTGTATTATCATTTAAGGCCTAAAAGAATAAATGCAGATAGAACACGAACATTTTCAACATTTTGCTAGAGCAGAAATCTATCGTGATAAGGCAACAATGCAGATCCTTTAATTGCAAAACAAAAATAATCCAATTTATACACTTTGCCAAAATTATGTTTTGCACATTCTAAACTACTTTTTTATTTTTTTCCCCAATATAATTTCACTTATCTGCTCTGTCTTATTTATGTTACATTTTTGTCTTTTAATCAAGATATAACAAAATATCTGCATTTCAAGGCCACACTAAAAACACAACTGCAATATTCAAGAATTGTGAAAAGAACAGTGAACATTTGTATACTTTATTAAGGATGTGGATATTTGTATTAATTTTAGAGTTTTACTTCTCATGGAGATGTCTGCTACTTACTTTCTGTAACAATGTCTGGAACAATATAATATTTCATTATTTCACCTCTGACAACCATGATCATACTGACTTCTCTGTCTGCATTCTCCCAGAGGGATTTTCGACTCTCTCCCACACCTGAAGAAGGCTCCACAGCCAAAACATTGTGTCTCTTTTCTTTTCAGTATGGAATAAACCTTTACTTGTTCCTTTGCAGCCTACGCATGCTGACGCAGGTACGCATTTGAACTTAACATTTCATTATGTAAATTACACTGCCTGTGCATTTTATAGCTGATTGTGAATAAATGATATACAGTATGTTCCTTTATTTCTCTATGGTTTCCATACTGTTTACCTGCTAAGTTTCATCCTTTCTAAAGGTCAGCCCACCAATTCCATACAAATACACTTTTAATTTGGCTAAAAGAGCTGCTGTTCTATAGCCAAAGAAAAGTAATCCATTACATCATGTCTATTTATAATTATTCAAAGTCTGACAAAGCAAACCCCTGCAAGTTAGGCCAATGAAGGCATTAATATGGCACTAATATGACCTAAAATGTTTTTTATTTATTTACTGTATGTGTGCTTTAGTTCAGTTACACAAATAGAAATTTTGGCATACCACAAATAGGAGTTGGAACATAAAAATGATTACAGTCTACAGGAAATATTATTATGCAGCTTATCTCATTGAACTTTTACTCAGGAAACTGGCATGTTGATTTTAGCATAGGTCAAGTTATTGCCAGGGCTTAAAGAAGCTATATCCTTTGCCTTTACTAGCTTATATTCATGAAGAACCATTGTCTTCACAATGTTTGGTAAATGCTAGATCCTTTTAAATCAATCAAGTCTGTTATTTTCAACAGGAAAAAGTGTTACAGATAAATACAGATAAATTACCTTAGCTTTTTTTTTTAAAAAAAAAGCAATTGAACGCATATCTCCATTAAGGATCCATTAAATTCTCTTTTCAGAGTATATACGTCTTACGTATATGTAAATCAAGGGCTTCATTGTGTAGCTGGACAGTGCATCTCTGGGGCTCTATAGCCAGTCTGATAAAACAGATTTTGACTGTTCTGAAACTGTTGTACAGAGCTGATACCCTCCAGCACCATGGGCTCAGCAAATATAATATCAGTTCTGCAGCTCTCGTACAATATTTATAAGAACACTGGATAACTGTCAAGGGAAGGTTCTAAAGGTGTTAAGGCTGCTTTAGATAGACATACTGTATATGAAAATCTTACTTGTGGCAATAGCTCAGGGGTCTTGACTAGAACATAAAGTTCATTTGTAGCTGCTTAAAGCAGGCTGGCTTACTGAAATGGAAGCAAAACTGGAAGACAGTGGAGTAACAGCTTAATCTTAACTAATTCATGGTAATTTCATTTTTAGTATTGTTTTCCATTCCATTTTATGCTAATTTGTGGCTGAATTAGATCACTGTTTCAATCACAACTATCAACAAAACAAGCTAGACAGGCCAAATTTTCTTATGCTTATTTTCACTGTGCTTTTATTATGTTTTACTATATACAGTAGGTTTCCTTATACTGTACATTGCTAGACTATGCCATGTTTTCACTCTAGTAAATCTGTTTGGAGGTAAACCAGTATGATTGTGTTTTAAATAATGTGTAGAAGTTTAGTTATAGATCTCTCACACTGGAGGCTGGACATCAAACTGCCAGAAAGCTACATAAAAAACTGCATGAAAGTTGAACATTGTGTTCTTTTGTTACAGCACAAATTTGTTTGCAGTAGCTAACATTGAAAAAGTAAGAGAAATATAACTTTAGAACTCTTTTATAATGGCAGTACTTGTTTTGCATAATTTACAAATATTTGAGAAGCATCCACCTAATAAACTCATATAAATCGATACTTTCCAGGTGGAACATTAAAGTCCAAGGAATGGTGGAGTTATCTCATGGCAATCCCCAATTCTGTTTTTGATTAAAATGTCTTTATTTTATATCTCTGTCAGTACATGCTTGTACTTCTGATATTTGCTTATGTATTACTTACATCAAATGCTTCAAAGTCCTCTTCAGAAGCCAGAGTAGTGCTGTAAATGTGCGGAAAGAGACTAGACTTTGTGTCATGAAATGAATAACCTGCCTTCAAAGTCTCTTTCATGTTTTGCTCACGTCACGATTGGCATAACTTTCTGAAATCCATTGATTCAGGATGAACAATTAATTTGTTAATTTCACTAAACTAGAAGTAAAACAGAGCATTGAGAACAATCTGTTTTCCACATTCAATCATTAAGTAGCATTCCAAATAGAAAGATTTTAACTTGAAAAGAGTCAACATCCATATTTCTCTTGGCCAAAATGTGTATACTGTGCTAAATGTTTCTCATTTATCATGAATTTATGCCTGTAAAAAGTTGAATAATATTACATATCATTTGTGTGGTGTATTAAGCCAGCAGCCATATCACCCTGCAACTCACAACTCGCAGCCCACTGAAGCTAAGTAGGTGTGATGCCTGGTCAGTACCTGGATGGGAGACCTCCTGGGAAAAACTAAGTTGCTGCTGGAAGAGGTGTTAACCCTGTGGTCCATGTGGATCCTGCTGCCCCAGTATAGTGACGGGGACACTATACTGTAAACAGGCGCCATCCTTCAGATGAGACATAAAACCGAGGTCCTGACTCTCTGTGGTCATTAAAAATCCCAGGGTGTCTCTCGTAAAGAGTAGGGGTGTAACCCCGGCTTCCTGGCCAAATTTCCCATTGGCCCTTACCAGTCATGGCCTCCTAATAATCCCCATCTATGAATTGGTTTCATTACTCTGCTCTCCTCCTCACTGATAGCTGATGTGTGGTGAGTGTTTTGGCGCACTATGGCTGCCGTTGCATCATTGCTGCACATTGGTGGTGGTGGAGGGGAGTCCCCGTTAACTGTAAAAGTGCTTTGAGTGGAGTGTCCAAAAAAGCGCTATATAAATGTAAGCAATTATTATTATTAATTAAGCGGCATGCTGTGTAACAAAGCAGTGAGAGATGATCTGTTCTTGTTGACTATGTTCTCTTAATCTTTCAAAATCCTTAAAGCTGTTTAAGTCAATCCTATAGTATTTTTTATATGGTAAATTCGTTTACCTAGATTAAAATATTTTCTTAGGAAACTGAATAGTGCTGCACACAAATAATCGATTAAATGATTGTCTTTCTTTAAATAGAAACTGGAGGTATTTGTGCACCTACAGTACTGCAAAAGACATTTTATACTGTGTATCCTAAGTTATTAATGATCTTTGCCAAATATTTTATATTATGTCATTGCTTACTGCAATAACAGTTTCTGACTAACAGATAGGATAGGCTTGGAATTTCATATCTAGTCTTTCCTGAAAAAGCAATTGTGTCAAATCCTTCGTTTTTTATGGTTTCAATAACAAAGACAACCTAATCATAACGATACAAATTGTAGGTGGTTGAAGTGAATGTTGTGAAGTGTCAGTACACTAGACTATTAAGAAGAAAGAGGTGGGTGTTTAACCTTTATGGTTTGAAAAAAATATTTTGGGTTAGGGTCCTTAGTATCATTTTAGTATTTTAACGTTTTTTTTACATAAGTACAAATCTTAGTCTTTTCCGCCATTGCGATGCTGCTCGTTTTGATTAAAATTTAATAACATTTAAACGGTGAAATCAGGAGAGATAATCAGAATAAAGAAATGGTGGGTGAAATAAACCAGGCACAGAAAAAGTCGAAACATGATTAAAGCATAAATTGCTAGTAAAGCTAAGATTAGGAAATAGTTATACCAAGCGCAGGATATAGAATTTATGGTTAGAGGATAATTTATCTGCAACACAGGTGTTATAGAATATCCACATTTGTGAAGAACTTTATCACAACTGCGATTCAGTTCAGGACTGAAACGGTCCTGAGGGGTTAAAAAAAAGTTATTATGTCTTATTGTTCCTATAACATTTTATTTTTCTGTCTAACGTTTCGTAAATCATTTGGAAATAGCGGAGTTTTAGGCTCTTTAAAGCATATGGAAGTATTGTAAAAGTGGGTTTACGTCATTAGTCGGTCCACGTAATTTAGACGTCATTTCTGTAAAATGTCATTACAACCACTGGCACTTCGGAGTGGGTATAAAGTACTGGTTCCTATGTGTGTTATCTTAGTGATACAGTATTTCTTCTTCTTCGGTTCATTTTCAGAATAATCGAATAAGCATTTTCTAATGGGCAGTAGTAATATATTTGACACATTTTGTAGATCAGCCCCTAGCAATGAACTGAAGATTTTGGGAACGCGTTTTCTCCAACTGACAGAAAATCATACATCCGATTACAATGCAAATGAGGAAGATTCCTGCTGTCTGAGTTCGGAACAGCTTCACACCTTTTTCGTTTTCATGGCTCACCAAAACACCGGCATGAGCATGAACAGTAAACCGAAGGACAAAAAGGAAAACCTGTTCACTGCAGCTCCAACGTCTCCAAACCCTGACGCGGAATCGGTTACAAAAGCGTGTGGTTTCGTCAAAGAATTCACCGATTCCATGGGCAGCTACGTGGAGGAACTATTTAACCAGGCACAAGATCCGAATTACGTGCAGGTTTTGGACAGCGCCGCGCCCTCCGTGCGTACTGCTGGAAATCATCTTGGCGCACCTGCGTTTGCGCCTAGTACAGGAGGTGAGAGTACAATATGGAAAAACTTTGGCGTTACCGAATGCCCAGTAGAAGCCGAGGACCTTTATGAAAACATGGAAAGCTCCACCAGCACAGATTGCACATTCTGGCCAGAGACGGCGTTTTCTGGTAAAGCAACTCCGTGTAAGGAACCCATGTCTCGTCCTGCTTCAGAGATAATACCCCCGAAAGAAAGTTTAAAGAAAGCATCACCTGGAGTCAACCAGTTTTTTAAAGACGAGCACCGACAGACGCTGATGAAGGCGCCTCAACTGCCGGAACTTGATCTCTACACAGTGAATATTTTGCCGGGGAGTCAATCTTTCGCGACCGCAAGAACCCAGCAGTTAGAAGTCGCCGGAGACCACGAGTCCTCTCACTCGATCTCTTCGACCAGTTCACACGGGTGTTTTGACAGGGCTCGCTGCTTGCCCGAAGCAAATCTGGATGCACCTGTAGCTCACATCCCTAGAATAAAGTCTGACCCTTGCAGCTCGGACTCTCTCAGTGGTGATGGAGTCCTGGGGTTTCTGGATTACGCACAAGGATCACCTCAGCATCTAGTCATGTATAAGAGCGAACTCTCCATTCCGGTTAGGTCTTCAGAGTCACAGCTGTGGTACCAGTCTCCTGGTTTTCACGACCACCAGCAGCAAATTGCGTATCCTAGTCCCAGCGGCATCCAGAGCGCCCGCGTGATTCACGGTTATCCGAATACATACAGCTCATACCTAGGGTAAGGCACCGCATTCCTCAAATTATCTGGGAAAACTCCTCCAGACGTATCGTATAATATAGTGAAATATAAATCAGTGTTAGAAGTTCTTAATAGCCTGGCATAGAAGAAGCCTTGATAGAAGTTCTCGTAACCTGGCATAGGATGGACCTTTAAATTGAGTAAAAGTCAATTCAATTATATTGCTAACGTTTATTCGTGTCTCCAAAAAAACTGTACTTATTAAAAGTTCAATAAATCGTTGAAAGGTGGACATTCTTGGGCACTTATTTTCTTTTCGCCTGTATATGGATAGTACAGTAAATGTGCTTGTGAAATCGACACAATGTCATTCGTTAAAGTGCATATGTTACTTGCTGGATATAAGGCGAATGTGTTTTTTAGGATGACGATTTATTTATTAAGTATAATCATCGTTTGGCTTTTTCAACGCAGTGGACATATTTAGTTTGGGGTACCACTTTTTAATTTGACTGTATTTGGAAAAAACCTTTGTTTTATTGTAAGAGTCAAACTGGCTTGTGAGTACCATTCTCTAATTGTGTAACACCGATACTGTAGCTTTGGGCAGTTTAGAATAGTTGCCAGTACACACTGTTCTCTGAAACTCATGCTATTTATAAGAGTGAAACATGAAAAGGTACTCCAAAAAGTCAACAATTAACTTTGTGGTTAGTTGAAACATGAGGTAAATTATTATTAAGTGGTCTTCTGAAGGTTGCAAATGATCAACCCCATGACTGCAGACAACAAAGTGGCTGTTGGTATAATGAGATTTTTATTAGCAAAAGTAAACATAGCTATTGTTTTTATAAAAGAGAAAGTTAATCTGTATTATTCATTATTGGGAGTTAACAAGTAACTGATTCTCTTTGAAAGGGTTCGCATATGGCACAATCTAATAAGAGCAGGTGCAAATCTTTGCCACTGCAAAAGAAAAGGATTTCACAATGTAGACAGCATAATGTAATCCCTTAAAAGTTCAACAGTATCATAAATCTCTCAGTAATCTATAGTGTATTAGCTGGAATAAAGAAAAAATGTTTTTTCACAAACACAATGTTTTTGCTGTGGAGCCTTCTTTGGGTGTGGTAAACACATTCTTCGCACCTGAAGAAGGCTCCAAAGCTGAAATGTTGTGTTTCTTCTCTTTTCAGCAAATCTTTACCTCTTCCTTTGCAGCCTACACATGCTGACGCAGCTACCTACTTGAACTACTGTACATACTGTAATTAAAGTGACTCTTAAGCTAATGACACAGCATCTAAATTTCCCTTAGGTATAGTATGTCTACAAGTGTTAAGATGGCAAAAGTATCCACAACTCTGTATGTGTTTCCAGGGTGTTGCCCCAGAAGTTATGCATGATCTGTGGGGATGAGGCATCTGGATGTCACTATGGTGTTCTCACCTGTGGAAGCTGTAAGGTGTTTTTTAAGAGAGCTGTAGAGGGTGAGTAAAATATTCTTAGTGTCTGTTGAAAATAATCGGACATGGACCTTTAAAGTTGTTTATACTTACTGGAACAAGAAATTATTAGAAAGCGCATAGTAGTGGGTCACTGTAGGAAAGCCCATGTCACATGTGTTGAATGGCATGCTTTGTATTGATCACCATTATCAGTCTTCTCTGACTTAGCCCTTGTAACAGTACAATCATGGATTTACTTGTAAAACAGGATCTTCTCTTGGTTTCTTTAGTTTCTTCTATTTCTAAAAATGCTAAAGAAATTCGGAAACTGTAAACAATACAGTTTTATATGTACTTTGTATGTACATCTACCTTAAATACATACATATATAATTTTGACAGCATTAAAAACTCCACTATAATAAAAAGCATTTCTTGTTCATTTTCATGTACTGTAACTGTAAGAAATGCCAAAATGAAGTACAATTCATTTTTTCCCTCAGCAAATGTTTTCCTCCTTTTTTTCCCCTGGCTTTACTGTTTTTTCTGTTTCGATTCATGTGACATGCTCTTCTTTTTTGGAAAGTTTAATTAATATGTGAGTCACTCATCACATCAAGTAAGTACACCCTTTATATTTTATTGTAGAGCTGAAAGATGCTTGAAAGAAGGGTAAAGTAAACACGAATATCATGTTTGCTTATATATATATGCATGAACGTATCGAGAAAACTGAACCTCTAATAAAAAGCAACCTACTTTGTTAAATAGTACAGTATGTTCTCCAACCCAATGTCATTTTTGCTGATAAGAATACATTTACATAACCTTTCCCGAACATCCAACAAAAAGACTGACAGAAACAGTCATTTATATTCTTTGAAACAACAGAAAATTATTAATTTGACCAAATGAGCATGGCAATAAAAAGTATATTAAACTTTTAATTCAAATGCTCTTCTCTTAAAGATTAAGATGTAGTTAGAGTAGATAAAGCCTTAATTAAAATCCATGCTGACATGATAACTCATCTTTCATGACTGACTTGTATTTAAATTTTGAAAAAAAGTGTTTCTGCTCAGTATATGTGTCAAATTTAATCATGTCTCCTCTCCTGTTTTTTAGAACTTTATCTGAAAGCAACAGATACGTGAAAACCTTCCTATCTGTCCCTGGCAGTGTCATCTTGTTCTTTTAATTTTCCTTGAATCCAAACCTCTTTGCATGAATGAAGACGGATTATTTTCTTGTGTATCAATTAAGCACAATCGATAGTCATCTATTTTTCTCTCAGTACATTCGGATGGAAATGAGTATAGTTTCCACCATTGCACATACCTCTTAAAAAATAATAAGCTAATATGATTTTACTGAAGCATATTGTTTCTTTAATGTTTCAGGTCGTCATAACTACCTATGTGCTGGGCGAAATGATTGTATTATTGATAAAATCCGAAGAAAAAACTGCCCTGCCTGTCGCCTGCGAAAATGTTACCAGGCTGGCATGATGCTTGGAGGTACTGAGTTTTACTTTGTTTCACATTTGACAGGAAGACGTCGTTTATTTTCTTAACTTTTATAAGAATCAGTGCTGGCCTGCTTGATGATCAAAGCTCTCATGTTATTCCTATTCCTCAATGTGATTATAGATTGTTACTGAAAAACCATTAAAAATATAAGAGCCATGCACAGTAAAGCCAAGGACTGATTAAGTAGCAACGTTTTAAATAAGTCGATTACAACAGATGATAGGATGGATAAATTATTTTCTATTAATTTTTTTGCTTCACTTGGAAGACTATTGGCAATTTTCTGTTCATGTTATCCTTTCTTAAGTATTAATACTTCTTATTTATTATGGATGAAATGGTAATATTCCTAGTGCAGTGGGCCAGAAACAACCTTGGTGCCTATTTGATGAATTACAGTAAAACTGAACAATTAGTGTTATGTTTTCCACGGGAAAATGATCAAGTAATATCAATACCACATAATACATCAGTTAAAGAAAAAAAGAAATTCAGTGAGGAGCCATACTTTGTTGAAACATCTCTACAGTATCTACAGTAAATTCTGAAGTTACTTTGAGAAAATAAAATTTAGCTAACTTTCTTTTAATGTTGATCATTATCATATGCTTTGTAAAGTTTTCTTGTGATGAAAATATGAGGTATGTAAACTATACCTTTTCAAAACTATACCTTTCTAAACAATACTTTTTCTAAGTATAGTATTACTACGTATATATACGTTTTCTAAACTTGGTTTCTGCAACTATAGAAGGTTGCAGGAGATACATATTAAGCATTACAAAAGGGCTTATTCTTTATTTCTTCTCCAGCTTTTGGGAAACTTAAGTGTTCCTTAAAATGAATCAGAGCTTGTTGACCGAGATTATTGCAGAATAGCTTTGCTTGCCATTTTTGTGTTTGACATGTTCTCCGAAACAGTTAAGAGCATAAGAGGACCACAGTGACCCAACTGAAGTATAAAACTCTAGTAACTTGGCAACTAGAGAAAATACCTTTTTTATCTCAGAATCTACCACTGAGATTTAAGATGACATAGTACAATAACCTTGTAGAGCTGAACAGAATCCATCCATATACTGTATATAACTATGCTAGTATGAAATGAATAGCTTCTGGATTACACAAAGACAGCACTATCTCTTCAGTGTGCTTTTTGTGAAATCCCAAACCATAATAGCATGCTAATTGAAACATTAAATGGAAACTTTAGCCATTTAAACCTGGCTTGATTACTCCTTGTAATGGTGTTTTGGTTGAATTTAAATCAATAAAATAAAAACTTAAAGGAATTTAAAAAAATCAAAGAGAATTGTTCCCATTTGATAAAAATCGACAGTATACAGAAATAAATATGTGATTTTGGTGAAATGTTGCAAGCAAAGATTTGGTAGTTACATTAAAATTCTGAGGAATTTTGCTCAATAATTGCAAACAAAAATAGTCTTGTAGAGATACTAATTCTAGAAGCACAGTTAAAAAAACAAGACAGCAATGGATGTGAACTAAACAAGTAAAGAAAATAATCATTCTTAATAGTGTAAGCAAAGCTTAATTATTCTCTACTATTATACTTTAATGTATATACCTACTATTAGTGTACTGTATATGGATAATAAAGTTTGCCAACAATTTTGCAAGCTGCTTCTATGTAACTGCAGTATATAACAGATATCATAAATGATCTTTTTGGTTGACTGTGGATGGATGGATTCTTAATCCATATGGAATATAACAATGAGTAATAAAATGTTCATGCAGTAATTCAAAATCAACTTCCGAAGTTGTTTGAACAAATATATTCTGAACACTACTATTATGTGTTACATTATTTTTGAAACTTTTTTTAATACGATTTGTCATTTCCTTTAGGCCACATTAACAGTAGATATACTGCAGTGATTCAGAACTGATTAGCAGAAGCTTCCATATTTATGAGACCCTTCTTTATCTTTAACATATTTCGGGTTAGCAGTGAGATATTGATCATCACCAGTCTTAACACTGATTCCAGTGAAAGGCACAGCAATGTTGAGACATGGCGCATTAATGGAAAACTATTTATATTCTGTTAGGTCGGAAGTTTAAAAAGTTTGGAAGTCTGAAACCTGTGGGTGTGCGACAGCCTCTGGTCCTACGCTCCCTGCAGCCTTTAGTGACTGAAAGACAGGACGTGGCCTCTCTGCTATGTGTGCCCCCAATTCGCGAGCTTGAATTGACTCCACAGATCTCCAGCATACTCGAGGCAATCGAGCCTGAGGTCATTTATGCTGGTTATGACAACTCCCAGCCTGATACGCCCAATGTGATGCTGAGTATCCTGAACCGTCTCTGTGAAAGACAGCTGCTGTGTATTGTAAAGTGGTCAAAGTCTATTCCAGGTAAGAACAACGAAAACACAATGGTTGAATTATCACAACAGATATGCATTCAAAGTTAAATTTTTCAGCAATATAAAAATGAAAAGGTCTTTGTCACACTTTTACAATGAAAGCAACTTAGTTTCTCTTCTGCAGGACTAAACAAAGTTTTACAATGGATTCTAGTCCACATCACATTGCCACTAGCTAAAACATGTTATCCACTTGCATTTTCTTTTAAAAGGATTCCGCGATTTACACATTGATGACCAAATGACTCTTATTCAGTACTCCTGGATGAGCCTGATGGTGTTTGCAATGGGGTGGAGATCATACAAAAACGCCACTGGCAAGACACTTTACTTCGCACCAGATCTCATACTCAATGAGTAAGTATGGAACGGTCACACTGCACTTTCACCTGTTAGAAACCTCCTGAGTGTCTCAACAGGCACATGTGCTTGCTCAAGAAAAGGAGGAGCTCTGTTGTCATGCGTTCTAGCAGGCATGTAATGCTTTCGGCGAGGGAAGTAACTCTCCTTGATTTAGTGCTGAACCTCTGGTAGGGAACTGTGTTATCTGAAATGTGTTAAAAAATGAATGGCTCAAAGGTTTCCAGTTTGTAGCAGTCTATGTAGTCCAATATGGCTAGATAAGACAAATGACCTTTTCTTCATTTTAAGAGTTTTCCTCTGTTTGGAAATGTGGGCCAATATGTTGAAAAGTCCAGCGGGCTTTTCCAAATTAGGTGGCTACAACAAAAATAACTGACGATTTAAAATGAGAAAAATAAGTGTACAGCTTACAGGTAATCTTACACACCACATGTTCTCAGTACCCAAAATAAGTAATATATGGTACAAGCAAATGAAGATAAACATAGCCTTAGCACTGCAAGCATGGAAAAATGTTTTATTAATGTATTTCAGGGAGAGAATGAAAAGGTCTCCCATCTATGACCTGTGTTTAGCAATGCAACACATCCCACAAGAATTTGAAAATCTCCAAGTGACGAAGGAGGAGTTTCTGTGCATGAAGACCTTACTGCTACTCAATACCAGTACGTTTTTACATCATGACTGTCCTGCAACACAGAAAATGTACAGTAGATTCTAATTTTCATAGTTTCGGATAAGATCCGTAGATCATGAAGCCTTCCATATTTGGTCTTTCAACAGAAAAATAAATAAACCATAAAAAACAGCTAATAGACGACATGCTGTGCTGTCAGTTCTCTGGGTGGTCAAGTGACTAGTGTGATGAAGCACTAGCATTCATGGAGAATCAGCTTTTAATCAGAAGTGGGAAACTCCAGTGTAAGAGATGAGTGATTAATGCTGGGAGTAATTAATCAAACAACAATTTTAAAAGCAAATGTTCTAATTTAACAGAATTTCAGGAGGAGGTTAAATTCTAATCTCACACTTCCTCTCTCCTATGTATAAAAACTTGCTGGCTGCCCACAACTCTGCTCGCAACTTTTCTACCTTTTCCTCCCTTCAGACACCTGCACTTTTGATGCTGTCTCCCTGCTTCATTCCTCATAGGTGAGGGAGGATGTGACAGTGCTGATCTTAGGCCAGTGTATTAATTTCTTCAGCCAGATGAATTGATGCCAGACTTTTAAATATGCTAATTCTTTTTATTCATCATATTGTTGTGCTGTTTTTTTTAATTTGACCATACTACTGAAATCAGAAATATAAAGTACAATAAATGTTTAAAAAATGTTGTTTAATGATATCTAGGGTAAAATAGAGTGTGACTTCGACCAGTGGTCCTCACAACATTTTCTCTAGTGGACACAATGTGTAGACACCTGACAGCACACTGTTAAATTCAGGATCATGTTGCGGGCCAGATTTCTTAAGAGCTTTCAAATGCCCATTTTAGAGAAAACACAGATTTTGCCGAAAAGAACACACACTGAAACCTCACTGATATTGATAATACATGAACTGGTCAACAGCTGCTAGTGTAAAGCTTGTAGCAGTGATTCAATCATGATTGTTTGCTGGCTCAGAACAGACACAGAGCCACTTATCTACACAGCAAGGAGCAGGTCCTCTGCTGGAGCAGAATTCTGCACTGCCTAGGTTTCAATGCGGTTTGGAACTTCTGTAATATCCTGGGTGCAGTGAGTCCTGTTACTCTCCGAAAGGGCTCGACAACCTTTCTTTGTTCAGAGCCATTTTGAAGTATTTAAAAGCATCCCAAGCTGCTTGTAGCTTTTCTGTATTTTTTATAAGGGTATTTACCTTTAATAAATGAAGTATTCGATTTTATTATGTATAAATGCATACATACCTTTGTTTCAATGAGAGGCATGCCACTGTGGGGTTAACTTGTATGCCGTTTTCCAGGTGCTTATAACTCATACTGTACATCTACCAAACTTTTAACATTCCACATGTATGTCTCTTTATGTCTCATTAAGGCCTCAAAAAAGTAATTTGATGATTTCCATCTCCGGGATTATAGACTTGAAATCAAACAGAACACCCATCTGTTCAGAAATGTCATAGACTTTCACCTGAAATGAACAAGACACAGGGCTCCAGCTGTACAAAATCAGTGAATTTGTTCTCTAACTCCTCACCACACCTGGTCAGGCGATTATCGTACTGCTCAGTGTCCACAGCCTCTGTTGCAGCTTCATTTCCTACCTTTTTTCTGCAGTTGTGGAAGAAAGAGGTTAAATTTCAACTAGAAAACTTTCACTGAACTTATCATATCATTGACTGTCCTCTCTTTCTCTTTCAACTCACAGTTTGGAGCATTTAATCATTGTTTTACATCAAATGCCAAATCAAGCAACTATACAGGGTCTTTCAACTGGACAGTATCTGTTTCATGACTCCATAAAAGTTCTGATTTCTAACAAAAGTGAGAAACTACCATCCATCAGTGATCCTCTGACCAATCAGTGAAGATTTCCAGGGCCAGAACTCAATTTTCGCAGAGGTCACCAATGTATTTCTATTCTAAAAATGTTATAGGGGATCTACAGCGTAATATGTTGCCCAATACAAGATAAATGTAGAATCTTAACAAACATGAATTTATACAGTACATTAACTACATTAACCACAGTTCCTGAAGTCTTTTTGATGTGAAAAAACATTTTGTTTTTATTACATCAAACGTTCGCCTAATTTAGATGCCCAAGTTTGACAAATTCACCTTCACGTTGCTCACAACATTGACATCTGTACTCATGAGACACTTCAGTTTCCTCAGCGTGTTAAGAAGAAAGAGAAAACATTGGTCTGTATTAATGTTCTCCTTCATTGAATTCTGTAGTCATTGACCTTGCATTGTTGATAAAGCAGGGATAAAGATATTAAATGTTTCAATGACTTTTCTTCTTTCCAGTACCACTTGAAGGCCTAAAAAGCCAAGGACAGTTTGAAGAGATGAGACAGAACTACATACGAGAGCTCACCAAAGCCATACACCAGAAGGAGAAGGGGGTGGTGGCCAGTTCTCAGCGCTTTTACCGCCTCACTAAACTGCTAGATGCCATGCATGATGTAAGTTTTCTTCCCACCGCTGTTACATTCAGTGCCATTCACTGCAATCTTATATCGGAATGGGAATATGAAAAAAAAAGATCTACAGTAGGACCGCAGCTGTCATACTTCAGTGCCTGTTGTGTGTCACAGATATTCATCACAGAGTTGAACAGGAGCTACAGTATGTAAATAATGCGGAGTTGTTCTCAGAAATTTAAAGTTCTTGACTTTACATTTTATGGAGTTTTTAGACAAAAATCAGGAAGGAGGTCAAGCCCCAATCTTGCCCAATTTTGCCTACCTTTGTATAACTATCACATTGCTTACTCACTTGTATGTTCTGTTTTTACATCCCTCCCTCAGCTCCATATTGGCCCTTATATATGTGGCTGCTCTCTGGTTTATCATTCATTAAGGGGTGGGGGGGGGGTTCACAGCCTCTTCCTTATGGATGGGTTGTTGTTCTCAGACAGGTGAGTTGCCAAAATAAAGATCACTATTCAAATCACTCCTCTTCTTCACATTAGTTATGGTTTGACCATAATTCTGGTATTTGACTTCTGCCAACCTGCCACATCTGGGCTCCACTGACAGGGCCTCAATAATTACTATTGTCCCCTTTGCCTTACAGCTAGATTTTTTTCACTCACGACTCTCAAACACCCTTTTTGTCAATGTCTTTTTGTGATGCCAACATACAGTATATGGAAGAAAGAGATGCCCAAAGTTTCATAAACCTATAATTATGTTTAAAATCCTCATCTCAAAAGCTGTATGGGTTGTCAAAGGGCCTTCCTTAGGGTGTGGAATGACAAGTTAATGACCTACTTCTATAGCACTCCACTGTGCTATGCGTTCACCTGTGTAAAAGGACCAATGACTCTGCTGTATCATGTACCATAGGTTTACAAATATTGACCTCAAACCCAGTAATTCCAATGCAATATGTATTGACCTCAAATGTTTAAAAAGAGCAAATATATTTCACTGCTGGTAAAAGCAGTTTTTAAGCAAAAACTCTTATTTATTTAAACTCCTTTACCCACAGTACATAAGGCTGATGGAGTTATGATTTCTTCCCCCTTTAAAACAGATTGTGAAGAAGCTGAATCTCTTCTGCCTGAGCACTTTTATCCAGGCTCATGCTCTGAGTGTGGAGTTCCCAGAGATGATGTCTGAGGTGATTGCCTCACAGCTGCCCAAGATCTTGGCTGGCATGGTGAAGCCACTCCTCTTCCACCGAAAGTGATCCAAACATTAAGTGAAGAAATATAATATTCTAGAATCCTGATTGGTGTGGATTTTGAAATACTGTATCTTCCTGGGAGATAACTGAAATATTTTCCTGGGAGGATGTACAGTATTGTAACGAAATAATTATGACATATACAAAATACTATAGGTATAGGATTTATTGATTAAGTTTTTTTTTCTATCTGTTGCTTTGGCTGTTCACTGTGCCATCACAGCATGCATGAGCCAGTTTTGTCTGTCAACAGCCAATTAGCTCCAATATCGCTTTGCTTATGTGTGTGTTGTGTGTTTGTTCAAATGAATTTTGAAACTAATGATGATTCCTCTTGACGACTGTTATTGTATTGAGCTAAAGATTAATTCTAGTAACTTTCCTATACTGCTGTTTTATTTGTTTTCAGAGTAATTACCATTGGCATACAATATTCTGTATTAGATACAGGATTTGTTGTGGTATTGATTTTTATAAAGAACTAGTGAATCAATGGATCATAGCCTGAGTCCATGTGCTTATCTTGAACTTTCAATTCAACAACTTAGCCAGTCATCAAGCAGGGCTAATGAATAAAGCATCACTTCTGGGTTTTCTGTCAAAAGGGTTATAACTACTAAGTCATGAATGGCAGTTGTGGGTCAAAACAGATTCATTTGATCTATTTTATCCTTAATCCCTGCATATCTGTTTCTTTTCCAAATAAGAGCAAGAACGAGTCCTCGTTCAGTTGTGTAATTTTTGGCATTCACGTCACTACTGCAGACACTAGTTTCTGATAAGATTTGGAGGTCCTTGATAACTTTAGAAAGTAAAATACAAGTTTAACTGGAGATTTCTTTGATGTTACATCAACGGCCCTGAGAAAATTTCTCTAAGAATATTTCTCTTTCCTGCACTTGATTTGCTGGAAATTCTTGCTCAAAATACACACTTGGTTTTCTATTATTCTTAGCTTTATGTTTCCCAGTCTCATTGCAGCATATTTTTCACCTTTTCTTAGGTAAAATTAAACATGGTAAAAAAATTAATACAACAGTTAGCACTTTATCATATACTCATACAAGCATTTAATGATGCAAAAACCCTTTAAGTTAATATGGCAGCCCTGTTTTCAAGATAAATGAAGCTTACTCCTTAAAGTAGCTTATGGCGTACTTGCTATTTTTTTATCCAGATCAAAATGAATAGAAAACTTAAAGTACATCTATGTTTAGTAAAAAAGTAAACTTTTAGAAGATAAAAAGTGCACAGTAATTAACAAAAAGACCCTATGTGTATATAATAACTTTACCTTTTTATGATTCTCACATGGTACTAACCTTTTGAAAGTTAACGCACTGAAAATTTTTCAGTCAATTTTCTTAAGGTTTGTATAGCATTTTGGTGCGTCTACAATGGTGTATTAATTGCTATAATGCACTTAACCAATATCAAATCTGTATACCATTTTAAGACACAACTAGTAATGTATTGGTATCAACACTTTAATTGTTAAGGTCAAGGGCTAATCAAGGTCATTCTGTTTATTTAAAGTTAGCCTGGGTTGTTTTAGAAGGAGCAATGTTGTTAAAATACACTAATTGCTCAAAATGTTTTGTCTTGAAAGGTCCATAAAACATTGTACCGTTTGGTAGTAATTGTGATAAAGGAATGGCACATAAAAGCACTCCATTATTTATTCAACAATGAAAGCTGTTTTTGGTGCATACTGTATGTGTAAATGTGAAGTGTATTTGACTGTTGTAGACACATGAAGAATAACTGTATTTGGCTAAAGTTTTGCTGCATTATTATTTATTTTGTACAATGTATTTAAATATGGGACTATTGGAGGTTTCATGGGCAATTATGCTGGTTCCAATTTCCTTTAGTACTCCTAAACTCATCATGCAGGGCTTTAACCTGGTACATCTCCTTTAAATAATCAGTTTAAGAATTGAATGCATACATTTGGCTCCTAAAATAACTTTAACTTATAACTGAATAATACTACTCACATTACCTCCTTAGGAGTCGTACCATAAACAAAACGTATCACTCAGACTATCTCACACAGTTAACTGGATAACGTACATGTGTCTAAAGTGACTACAACATTATTTAAAATTTGGTATTGGTGTAAAATACAGTTCAAAGCACAATACTACAGTACCTATTAAGACTCTTATTTAAAAGGACTATTTTTTTATCCACAACAGAATATTGTATCTTAAAATTAGGCTGAAATATTTTGCATTAAGAGCTGGGAAAATAGCTTTACTAGACAGTATGTTTTCTTGTTGTTTACTCGTTAAGATATAAGTTTGAGAGCACTTCTCTTTAATTTTCTTTAGTTCTAAAACCAGTAACAAGGAAGTTGGCACTTCTAGATGGACAACACACAACAACTACTCTGTCTTGAAAAAAAAAAGCTTTAATGTTTCCAATTTTGCTACACCCTTTTAAAACCTTTCCGGTTAAAAATTAATAAATGGATTTCCTGATCTTGTGTTAACTTATTTAGAAACATCCTCTTCCTTAAAAAATCCCACAATTCCACACAGAAGGGAGTATCATTCCTGCATCAGTGCTGAAGGTCACATAACATTCTTGTGTATTTATATGGAAAGAACACACTGGACTTGGCAACTGTTTATGATTGTAGATAACTCAGACATTACAGTTTACTTCAGAAAGTTACATTTCCTTTAAAAACAGCTTTACAATTCTAAGAAAACTATTTTCCACAGTAGACACTGAAAGAGTCAAGAAGTATTTTGCACAACATCATGTCTTCCACCTGTATGTTTACTTAGTTTCACAGGATTACACCAAATTATCCCCCAGATTGAGAACATATTTCTCTGGACTAATGACAATTGTTCTAATACCAACAATTTCCTTATTGAAAGCACATGGAATACAGTGTCATTGTTCAAACAATGATTCTTTCCTACACAAAGCTTTACAGGAAGATAACACAAAAGGGTCTAGAATCTCACTGACGATGACAATTTGTAATTCTGTGTTGAAATTATTCATACAAAAGGTTGAATCCCTAAATATTAATTCGAGCCACCAAAATGTGAAAAGCTGCATCCAACGTCATAACCTTTGTCATATTTGCTGTGATGCGTTTGCTCTTCCTCCTTAGCAAGCGAGGCAACACGTCCTTGTCTAAAAGTTCACTGCGGTTGCCCATTGTGGTAAATGTGGTTTATAAATGACAACGGGTTTTTTTTTTACAAATGCGGCTGCAATCTTGGATCCTTCTCCGGGAATTAAGCCTGTACAGTACGTACTACAACCGAAGTTGAAACAGCATGAAGATATATCTTTCCTCTTCACTTTGCCACTGTTATTAAATCTTTTTTCTGAATGCTACTTTTTGGCCACTGCTATTGAACAGAAGAACATTTTCATGATACTATTACTAAGACACCGCTATTTTGAAAATACTTTCTTTTCACGCTACTATTTATAGGTCACTGGTTTTGAAAATAGAAATGGAAATAGTGACCAGCCGCTTCTTACCACGGAGTTTAAAATCAGACTGACTTGCCTTTTTGACATCTACACTTTTATACTGGTTTACTGGATCCAGGAGATTTCTGTTTTATTCTAATTCCCAGACAAGGCACCTCTTTAGCCTAATTCCTCACCCGGGCTTCCTAATTTCTTCACCTGATCAATTAACTTCTAAATTTTTAGTTTGGATTTATGCCCTCTGGTGACTTCTGTCGGAACTACAGCTCTCTTTTGTCATACAGTACTTAACATACACTGAATTTAGAGCACAAGGTCTTGAATTCTAAGATTTGTTCTTTTTCTTTGACGTTATATCAGCTAGTTTTTCAAAGCACAATTAGATATTTTTTAATTTTAATTTAAAAGGATGCTTCTTTGGTGAGTGAATCATATAACGCAGCCACGCAGAATGCACCTGTAGTGCTGGATGTTGCGTTATGTGATTCACAGGCCAAAGACGATCAGTGTACTGTATGAAAAAAAAGGCAAACATGCAAAAACAACAACTTATAATCTCTTCCTTGACTCGAATCTTCGTTCTGCATCCTGTTAAATCAAGATCAAAATATATCTAATTTGTAGATATCTAATCTGTACAAGGTTTGAAGGTTTGGACGGGTAAAAGGTAATAATAATAATAATAATAATAATAATAATAATAATAATAATAATAATTACTTACACTTATATAGCGCTTTTCTGGACACTCCACTCAAAGCGCTTTACAGGTAATGGGGACCTCCACCACCACCACCACTG